CAGCCATTTTTGTGGAATCCATGATACAACTGTGATTTTTTATTTATTTATTTATTTTATAATTCTTTGATGAAAAGCATTTATTTGAGATATAAATCTTTTGCAACAATATACATGTCTTTTTAACTTTTGACCAGTAGTTTATGTACAAAAACTAAATTAAACTAAACTAATAATATAATATAATATAATATAATATAATATAATATAATATAATATAATATAATATAATATAATATAATTTTCACAATTAAATAAAATCCCCAAATATAAAATCAGATACACCCTGCATTATAGGAAAGTTAAATGCATTACAAATTCTGTGTATTGTTGTCAGCAACATTGCACTAAATGGCCGCTTTCGATATTGATCAAACACTTAGCCCATATAAAGGCCAAAACATGTTACCTCTGGGTGAAAGTGTGTTTTATACAAAATACAGGGATTGAGATTTTTAGTTATTTGTATTGCCATCTGTGTGTTTCAGGGTGGAGATCTGTTTGATGCAATCACCTCCTCGACAAAATACACTGAAAGAGATGCTAGTTTAATGGTATTCAACCTGGCGGCGGCTCTCAAATATCTGCACAGAATGTGTATCGTCCATCGAGACATCAAACCTGAGAATCTGCTGGTACGCTCATATACGCAGTCAAACATATCCTCAAAAGAGACATTAAATATACAATATACAGGTATATACACCTACACATTCTGCACAGAGACAATAAATCTGAAAATACTTTAGTTCACACATCTTTAACACATACACAGCAGTACAGAAATACAAAACCTGTGAAGAAAACAACTTTGCACTTTGTTTGTGGAAAATTACTTAAGGTATGTCAAAAGGAAAAAATGTAAATCCGGGTGGATAGAAATAATCCTTTTGCCTCTTTCACTATGTGTGTCGTAGGTGTGTGAGTACCCTAATGGTATAAAGTCATTAAAGTTGGGTGATTTTGGCTTAGCCACAGTGGTTGAAGGGCCGCTTTACACTGTTTGTGGAACACCTACTTATGTTGCCCCAGAAATCATAACAGAGTCAGGGTAAGAATCACTGATTGTTTTGTTTTCATATCAGCATTGTTGTTTTTTTAACCGTTTATTATATTTATTTATTTATTATTCTTTTTCTAAAGTGATGGCATGAATAGCTGTGATATAGCCTTTAAAATACTGGGGGCTGTATGTTATTGACTGTGTCTTTCTGTCTGGGCATCGCCGCAGATATGGGCTAAAAGTGGACATCTGGGCAGCTGGAGTAATTACCTACATCCTCCTATGTGGCTTTCCACCTTTCCGCAGGTACTACAAGATAGTACCTGCTCAGTCCTTCATGTTAATAATCTACAGTGTTTAAAATCTAATATTTAGTCTCATATTGTTCATATTGCTCATGTTTTGTATGTATTGTTATCAGCAGTTGTTAAACATTAAATATATGTTTTTATTGTCTGTGTGCTTGGCATTTGTTTTTGTAGTGAGAATAACCTCCAGGAGGACCTTTTTGATCAGATTCTAGTGGGGCGTTTAGAGTTCCCATCACCCTTCTGGGACAATATCACAGATTCTGCTAAAGTGAGTGGAGACAAACACACACTGACAACACTTACAGGAATAGTTTGCCTAAAAAGTCGAAATTGTTAGAAATGTACTCACCCACGGGCCATTCAAGATGTAGATGTGTTTCATTCTTCATCAGAGTTGAGTAGGATTAGTACCATATAGTAACATTAGTGAGTGATGTAATGCTAAATTTCTCTAAATCTGTTCTGATGAAGAAACAAAATCATCTACATCTTTAATGACATGAGAGTGAGTAAATTTGCAACTCATTTTCATTTTTGGCTAAACTATTCCTTTAGCATGCTTTAAACACACTGTCTCACTCTCACCCATTTACCTTAACATCCTTCATTCTTTATGCTATATTCTCTGTCCTGACTGCACCCTACTCTGTTTCATCCTACTCACATTATTATATAATCTCATTCACATCCTCTCCCTCTCACATTCACCCCATCCAGCTTTAGAACTGTTTTGCTTGCTGGGTTTCTAACATATTATTCTGCACTGAATGACAGAATTTTTGCTGTGTGTGTGCAAATGTGGACAAGCAGTCCTAATATCAGATTTATTTATTTATTTTGCGTACTTAAACATTTTTAAATCATGTTAATGGTCTTTTTATTAGGACATCAGGCCAGTATCTTATATTATATTATATATAATATTATATTTAACATATATATATATATATATATATTTATATATAGAATATAGAATATTATATTTTAAATGTATTTATATATATTATTTAAAAAAAAAAGTCAGATTCTGTTTGGGCCTGAACATAATCCAGAAACGTTAGATCATTAGGGCTGAGACTAAATGTGTCACTAAGACTAATGTTTTACAAACTAAATTACAAACTAAAAGTCCTTTTCTGAAGTTTGGATTCACTGAAGTATGTCCTCACTTTCCATAATTCCTTAACTTAAAGCACAAAGATTTAAAATAACGTCGCTAGGTTATGTAACGAGACGCTGCATCAGAAATGCCTCTGCATGACCACACTCTGAAGCACGTGTGAAATCAGTCCAATCGAATGGCGAGATGTCATAAGCAGGATGAAGTGGTGCCCAGGAAGCTTAAAAGCACATGCAGCAGTGTCTCGTTCCCTTAGGGGAGCCATGGTTACATACGTAACCTAGAGACGTTCCCCTTCAGGAACTTGCGCTGCATTAGAAACGCTTTGGGAATGAGAAAACTCACTCCGCCATTGTTACAAATTCCTGCCTAGTGTGGAACACTATACAACTAGGATGAGAGAACAGAGGAGCCAGGAGTGGCTCCCATGTCAAGGTTGTAAAACCTGACAAACGTAAGTGGGGTGGACAAGCCTGCAGCGTTACAGATGTCATGCACTGACACCCCAGAGAGAAAGGCCCTGGAGGCTACCACACTTCTAGTAGAGTGTGGCGCTCTGACCCCCAGGGGTGAAGGGAGGTTAGTGGACTCATAAGCCAAATATATTGCATCCACAATCCACTGACTTAAGGTCTGCTTGGTTGCCGGGAGACCTCTCTTGGGCGGACCAAAGTAAACAAATAATCAGACTGCCTACACAGGGAAGCTCTGTGGACATAAGCATCCAGTGCTCTGACTGGACAAACAAGGTTAAGCTTTTCCTGGTCTGGGTCCCTAAGGGTAGGAGGATAGAAAGCCTGCAGCATAACGGGCCGTAGAACCACGGTGGGCACCTTAGGCACATACCCTAGCCTAGGGTATAAGAATGCCTTAGCCATAACAGGCGCAAACTCCAGAAAAGAAGGGGCCACAGAAAGGGCCTGAAAGTCACCAACTCTCTTAAGGAAAGAGATGATCAGTAGGAAACAGTCTTAACTGTAAGGAACCTCTCCCGAACCTTCTCAAGGGGTTCAAAGGGAGGATTACAGAGAGCTTCTAGGACCACGGCCAAATCCCAGGACCGGACTCTAGAGCATGAAGCAGGCCTCAGCCTCAACGTGCCATGGAGGAAATGTGTAACCAACGGGTTTCTCCCCAATGACTGACCACCCAGGGGGGTGTGGTAAGCAGCTGTGTCTGCCACGTACATCTTCAGGGTGGAGGGGGCTAACCCTGCGGAAAACCGTTCCTGCAGTAAATCCAGCACTGAACCAACCAGGCAGTTGACTGGGTCCAGCTGACGGATGTCGCACCAAGAAAAGGTTCCACTTCAAAGAGTACAGTTTCCTTGTGGAGGGAGCTCTGGACTGGAGTATGGTCTCAACAACCTCAGTTGAGATACCGGAAGCTATGAGCTATGCCCACTCAGGGGCCACACCCACAGTTTCCATAACATAAGAATTGAGCCCCCCGCCTGAGAGAGGAGGTCCCTCCTGACGGGAATTTCCCATGGAGAGCCATCAAGAAGGGCCACCAGGTCTGAGGACCATACTCGACCCGGCCAGAACGGGGCTACTAGCAGCGGACGAACGGTGCACACTCTCCAGAACTCCCAGGAGCAGAGCAATTAGATAAAATGCGTACAGATGCAGTCTCAGCCACGTCTGTACCATAGTATCCAGTCCCAGAGGAGCTGGGTATGTGAGGGATAACCAGAGTGGACAATGTGAGGTCTCTCGTGACGCAAACAAGTCCACTTGGGCCTGGCCGGACACCCTCCAGATCTGCTCCACCACCTCAGGGTGGAGCCTCCATTACCCGGGCCTTGGTCCCTGCCTCAAAGAGGAGGGAGGCATCCGTTGTTAGTGTCACGCGATGACAAGGAGCCCTCAGCACCGGGCCTTGAGACAGAGGCCAAGGCTTCCTCCACATGACTAAGGCACATAAGCATCATCGTGTGACCTTGATCATGCGAAGCAGGTTGCCCCTCGGGGAAAACCCCTTGGTTCTGAGCCACCACTGCAGGAGTCTCATGTACAGCAGGCCAAGAGGTGTCACGTTGGATGCAGCCGCCATCAGACCCAATAGTCTCTGAAACTGTTTGACTGAGTGACTGGCCTAGCTTCACCCTCTTTGCGGCTGTAAGGATCGACTCTATTTGAGCAGGAGACAGATGTGCCTGCATCGTGGTCAAATCCCACACATCGCCCAGATAAGTGGTTCTCTGTACTGGAGAAAGCACACTTTTCTTGGCGTTCAACCTTAACCCCATCTCTTTCATATGGGCGAGGACGGCATCTCGATGCCAAACAGCCATATGCTCCGATTGAGCTAATATCAACCAATCGTCAATATAATTGAGCACGCGAATGCCCTGGAGTCGCACAGGAGCCAGAGCAGTATCCACACACTTGGTAAAAGTGCAGGGTGAGAGTGCCAGGCTGAAAGGAAGAACTTGATATTATAGATGAAGGATGTCAAGATCCTTTAGATCTATTGTGACAAACCAGTCCTCTGACCTGATTTGAGACACGATCTGTTTGAGCGTCAGTATTTTGAACCTGAGCCTCATGACTGAGCAGTTCAACTGACGAAGCCCTCATCCTTCTTTGGAGCAATGAAGTAACAGCTGTAGAACCAGGACTCTCACGAGAGAGGAGGAACACGTTCTATGGCCTCCTTCCTCAAGAGAGTGTCTACTTCCTGTTCCATTACCAGAGCCTGCTCGGGGCCCACCAGAGTGGGATTGACCCCATTGAATCGAGGCAGACAAGAACCAAACGGGATTCTGTAGCCTTTTTCTACAGTAAGCAGGACCCATTGAGACACATTTGGCAGAAGTTTCCACGCTGCCAGATGGTCTACTAAGGCAATCAGTCTCTTGAGACTGACCTCTGTTGTACTTTAAGCAGTCAACTCTGTGCCCTGAAGCGGATGACCAGCAGGGAACGTCCAAGCTGACTGCTCTAATAACCTCCTTGGAGGATGCGAGCCTCCCAGAGCCACTACGTTTCCGGGCAGGACAATGAGAGCTGTGCTCACTGTGACACTGCTGTGCCCTGAAGCACCAGGGGTGATAAGGTTGAGAGACCGATCTCCTGAGGGCACTAAGGAGAGACGAGCACTGTATAATGAGGTGTACACCGCTCTTCCCCAGAGGGGCCTGCCCTCAGAAGTCCAGCGCCACAGGCGTCAGTACTTCTTGGCCGAAGCCTTCTTGGCAAGAATGATGGTCCTCAGATCAGTCTTCTGCCTCAAAGACTTCGACCGGGAGCACCGCTCTGGTTCCAGCTGTTTTTGCGGGGTTCTGATCCATGAGAGAGAGCGCTAGATCTGGTGGGTGAGGGCGAAGAAAAGGACAATCCCGTCTCTAACCCCTCCACAGGTGCTTTTAAGCTTCTTGGTCACTATGTCATCCCATCTATGACGTCTTGCCATTCCACTGGACTGATTTCACACATGCTTCAGAGCATGGTCACGTCACGCAGAGACGTTCCCAGAGCGTTTCTGATGCAGCGCGAGTTCCTGAAGGGGAACTATTTGTTTTCTGTCTTTTTGTGTACCTTTTCTGTTTTTATGATAAAATATATTAAATTTTCTTGACATCTGTTTATTGAAAATATGATCATGGTGTGTTCGCACAGGAGTTGATTGGGCACATGCTGCAGGTGAATGTGGAGGCCAGATACACAGCGGAGGATGTTCTGTCTCACCCCTGGGTCACGGTAAATGTGTGTGAAAAGGTTTAGTGCTGTGTGTATGTGTATGTTTTTTGTCAAATTAGGTAATGCATGTGCTACATTACAGTATCAGATTTCTATTTATAAGATATAATATACCAAAATGTGGCATGATTGGCCACAAGGGATTCACTTGCATACTTACTCATAAAACATTATTTGAGTAATTTGAGCTGTATTAGAAGTGGTTTTGATTTATGCTTCAAATTATTTTTCAAACTGAAACCTACAATTTAGTCTGAATGTTCTGGTGAACACAGTTATATTGCTCGCCATTAGATTGGCCTATCCTAAATCCACTTCAATAACCAACAGGAGGATTCTGCGATGGAAAACAATATGAAGATGGAGGTAGCAGGTAAACTCAAAAAGCACTTTAACTCTGTGCAGAAACAGAGCAACATTTCCCCTGGAGTCTCTGTTATTGTGGTGAGCACACACACTCACACATGAGAAACAGTCTGCACATCATAACTGCAGCTGCTGTCGTCTGTTAATATGCTTTGCTTAAAAAATAACCAATGTCATCCTCTCGGCCCCTGATGATTAGTACTTGGATTACACATAATTCCGAAGCATAGCCGTCACTGAAATTACAGCCACTGTGGACACCAGCATCAAATCAATCAGTTTGTCTCCCTCAGCACTCATGACTTACATAACTTCTAAATCTCAGGAAATATTAGAGATTATTGTATTGTAAGCAAGCACAGGACAAAATATGCCAGAGCTATAAAATAGGACATGACTTTAGAAAACAGCACATCAGGTGCAAGTAAAAAAATCAGGCTTAATTTCTCCATAGAAATTAAATTTTATTTTAAGTGATAATGTATAAACCTGTCAACACAGACATGCCACGAGTAACATGATTTCAACTTGTGAAAACCTCTTTAAATATGTTCAAAAGCCAAATTGATGGTTAAAAACTACCCTACACTCTCAGATAAAAAAGGTACAAAAGTTGTCACCGGGGCAGTACCTTTTCAAAAGGCACACCTTTGTACCTAAAGAGTCCATATTGGTACCTTAACAGTACATATTAGTACCTAAAGTGTACATATTAGTACCTAAAAGGTACAAAAGTGTACCTTTTGAAAAGGTACTGCCCCAGTGACAGCTTTTGCACGTTTTTTTCTGAGAGTGTACTACCCATAATCCATAAATCCACAAGAGAGCCAACCAAAGACTTATATATTTGTATACATTTGAATATGCTGTTTTTATGCTTATATTCAATGACTATAAGTCATTAGTTTTCTATTGTACCTTTTTTTTCCAAATACATAATTCATTATACGGTATGTTTTTAATGTTTTTGAATAAGTCTTTTATGCTCACCATTTACTTTATCAAAAATATAGTAAAAACAGTAATATTGTGAAATATTATTATTTAATGCAACTGTTTTCCTTAAAAAAAAAAGGAAAAAAGAGTTAAATACAGGACCAAGCCCATTGAAAAAAATGTGAAAAAAGTGTTGCTCTCTATAGTGCCTGAAAATTGCTGAAGGACTCGTTATAATCCTTTTATTGCTTGACAGAATGTACTTTATGAGCTCAGAGGGAGACATGGAGACATGGGTGAAGCATTTTCAGCCATTTCCACCCCAATGTCTTATTAAATTTCCATCCCAGTTCACTGAGCCATAAACCCCTCACTGCCAGCCTTGTCTTAGTTCTTCTCACTGTCATTAAGGTGTTTGTCTCTGTAAATGTGTTGTTTTCAGTGTTGTCACTGGTCTTCACCTTGTCTACATTGTCACGATCAGGCATACTACCTATCATTCATTGTTTGTACTTGACCCCATCATGCAGAAAGGAAATTTCATTTTTGATATTTGAAATTAAGACCTCAGTATACATTTAAATAACTGCTAAGTGGTATATTGAATATTCATAATATATTTGCATTGATTCTGCTGGAGATAAATTATATTAGTGAACATTCTGATGATACTAATTTAAGCGTTGTATAGGAGGCATTTGTTTATGGCATTTTCCTTTATAATACATTGGTAAAACCCTAAGCTTTTTAAAAAAACTATGGTCCTTTTTTGTTAACTTCACTGCTTGAAAAAGCAGCAGCAGCAGCAGGGACTCTGGCTGAATGGGCATTGATGTGAATCTCATTTGACAGTTTGAACTGTAAGGGCAGGGCTGTACAACATCCCTTTCTTGCTCTCCCAAGACCCGAAATGATGTCTACCACTGGATATTGGGTATTTGACTCCAAACATAAACCTCCTTTTAATGAGCTTGAGTTCTTTGACTACACTCAAATCTAGCAGTCTCTACACTCTGACTGCCTCTTATTCACTTTCACTGGGTTTTTCAGCATTTGCTGGTCCTGCATCTAATTCTAGACAACAATCATACCATACTTCATGTCCCAACCATAATCTGGTCCACTTTTTGTCTTTTCATCTTCTCATTCCACTCCATGTTCATGGTGGCTCTCTAAATTAGTTTATTGATGTGATATTCTGTGCCATATGGATTTGTTGCATTATTGCTGTATATCGTTTTCTTTCTGGGCTTTAGCTGGAAGGTTTGTATTAGCGTGCATGCAATACTGACTGCTTGTAATATTAACACTCCAATTCAATGGGTTCTCTCTCTCTCTGTTACATAATCCAGACATTGTCTATTTCATGGCAGCTGGCAACGTCCCCAAAATGAGCCTCACTCTTAGGACCTTGACCATTGCCATCAAAAATTCAAAGAAAGTGTTTTGATAATATGTAAATTAATCTACCATCTTCTGCAGTATTGTAATATAATAATTTAAATTAATAAATCTAATGACCGGGAGAGAGAGATGCTTAATTATGCACAAAAATTGCCTTGGATGAAATATTTTACTGAAAGTTTTAATTTAGTTATTTAGATATTTTAGATAAAATGGGGATTTAGTTTTTTTCCCTTTTAATTAAATTTGTATTTTATTTTATTTTAAAGCCAGTATATGTGTATATTTATTAATAGGGTCCAGACATGTCCTATTTGTTTTGTCAGCTTTCTTTTCAATAACTGGTTTTGTCTACAGCTGAGGAACGTACCAAAGAAACCAGATCATGTCACAATTGAAAGGAATAGCTCACTCCAAAATGAAGCTTTTGCCAATTACTCACCCTCATGTCATTCCAAATATACTGAAAGAAAATAGTTTTTTTTTTTTTTAAAGAACTGTCACATGGATATTTTTCATACAATGACATATTAATATTATTCTTAATAACTGTGGTCTGTCAGG